GCAGAAGAGATTTACGTCTGCACTTCTGTTGCTTGGCACTGGCATCCGATGCTCCTGATGTAGATCACCTCTGCAAAATGAATTGTGTACATTCTCAACCTATGGGTGAACACTGCTGGCGCACATGATGGGCTCTATTATATGCAACAACCGGTACCTGGGTGCTGGGAAGGCTCTTCAGCCTTCTGAGCACCCCCATCATCCCCATGCCATCAGCTTATTTTTCAGACTACAGTTCTACACATCTTATTAACCTTCTTCTGAAACAACCTCCTTCATTAAAAGGTTCAACAAAATGTGGAGTGGCCTTGCCCTGTGTTATTTAAATGGGGTAAATATAAATAGGGGATTTACATGTGTGAAAACTGTGAACTGTAGCAAATAGGGATGATCTTACCTCTATAAGGTGCAGATTTCTCTCTTTAAAAACTCTGATTTTTCCCACAGTGTCCAAATAAACTTAAGGATGAGTGTAAAGTTGTCCTATTCAGTTCTTCACACCAAGCCTATCCTCACAGTGCCTGGATCCATTTTGGGGTGGTGGACACCCAGTCAGCCTGTAAAGGAATTGATATTGCTAGCCTTGGAAATGAAATTTCATAAATCCACAGCACAGAATATGTGGCTGAAAACAATGCTTTCATGCCACACTTCCAGTTTGTCTTAAAACTGCCCCCAGGATTTCCATGCAGTCTCTTCTGTGGTGTGGGGTCTGCTACCAGTATCACATGAAATGGTAGTTTCTCTTCTAGGGCCTAGACTGAGCCCTAGGAATGAGTCCCACATAGGGTGTAATCTGCTCTATAAAAGCATCTGAATCACAGCCATCCACTTTGCTGACATAAAGGTGTGAGCCTTTGCAATCAAATCCCATGTGCAGTAAATGAAGAAAAAATGGTATCAGGAGAGACTGTCTGCTCCATCATCTCTCTAACAGTATTCCAGGGTGTCATTTCATCTCGAGTTCTTCCAGAAAAACTGAATGCACTGAAGAAAATATCAACATTAATTCTGCACAAATATGCTGACAATTGACTGTGTGCCAGTGCCCAGCTTGTTTGCATTGTTTCTGTTGCATTGCTTAAAAAAGATAAAGCCTCAGAACAATAATAGCTAAAGCAGGAGAACCAAACAGAAAGGCAAAAGGATTGCCTGTCAGCCACAGGACCTTGCTGACTTGAAGTTTAGATATAAAATGTATCTGCACCAGTTTGCCAGGATTCCTCATGAGAAATAATGCTGGTGACTGCAATGGTAGAGAAAGGGCCAGGTCAGATGGTATCTCCTCCTCCACTCCCACAATTCACATGCTGCTTTCTTCTCACACTTGAAGCAGAGAGCTACACTTCTGATCTGGCCCTATCAAGTTAACTTCTTAAAAACTCTATGCTTTGCCCATGCTTATTTGAAATAGAAATGGTCACCCTTCCATTTAGAATAAAAAGATATGTTTTGATGATTTAGCTTCAAAAGTAAACCCTCTTGATTTCTGAAATCAGGATTTCTTTACATGCAATATTGTGAAAAAATCCAAATCAGTGGTAGCAGAAATTGCAGCAGGAGGTGCTTAGCAGCAAAGGTGGAGAAAGAGATGAATGTTTTTCAGGACTACAAAGAAGTACCCAGCAACATGCTATTTTTGTCTTTTTCTTTGTAACCAGACTAATGCCTTTTCTCCTGTTTTGAGAAGCTGGAGGTCCAACAAGTTATAGTATCCTGAGACAAGAAGATGCCCTGTTGCTGTGTCTCCTTCTCTCTAACAGCTAGTGACCAGGGACCACACCCCAAGAAATCCTACAGTTCCTTAGATATGCACTTCTTCCTCCTACAGAAAAGTAAAATTGTAGCTCATTTATTGTGTCGGCAGCTACTATCTATTGAGTTGGGAGGAGGCTCACAGCTCCCCTCAATATCAGATTTCAGAAGGAAACCAGGAATTTCAAGTCATTATTAAATCCCCTGGTCTCAGTTCATGCCCACACACTCATTCCTCAACACAGAATATACAGCAAAGGACATGTTGTATATAAGATGCTTTTGAAGGTCTTTACTTATGTATTATTTGTGGAAAAACTTACTGTTTTTTTTTACTGTAGTTGTAGATATACAACTGAAGTCATTCTGATTTAGCTGCTTCTATAGATATTCGCTGTTGTTTAGTAGAGAGGACTGTGGGCAGTACCCCCATCTGTCAACAAATTCCCTTTGGCTCTCATGAGAAGAGAGACGTTCTGTGTGTGTATGCAGCACTCTGTAGCTTTTGGGCCCTCGGCATGCGGTTTCACATCACGAAAGCAATGTTGAGGTCATGAGCTGGATTATTCTTAAATGAAACAGACCCAGAAAATGTTCTCCAAAGTCATACCTCAAGAATTCTGGCTACAAATGGGTGTTCAGAAAGAAGCTACTTAATCATAGAATCATATAATGGTTTGAGTGGGAAGGAACGTTAATGGCCAGCCAGTTCCAACTTCCTGCTATGGGCAGGATTGCCGTCCACCAGAACAGGTGGATCAGGGCCCCATCCTGCCCATCCTTGAATGCGGCCAGGGATGGGGCATCCACAGCTTCTCTGGGCAGCCTGTGTCAGTGTCTCACCGCCCTTTGAATAAAGATCTTGCTACTGAAATCTAGCACCTTGAGCAATCCTCTGGTGAAGCACCTTTTCCCATCATATTGATCTGTCCAGTTGCTACGGATCTGTCCATTGCTGCAGAGCATGGAGGTATGTTATCTGTGTTATTGCAGCGTCTGATGTGCATGGACTCAGATGTGAACGATCCAAGTCATTTATTACAAGTTCTCACATCACTTACATACCTTCACAAGTTCTCTTTTTCTAGCTTTCCCATGCACCCCTACAACTTTCCCATCCACCTTTACATGTCAACAGAGCATTCTACAAAACACTCTTCAACCATTCACACAGGCGCTTATCCAATCGGAGCCGTGAGACGTTCGTTCTTCTTCTAGAGGTGTCCTTGGTTCTCATGCTGTTTATCTTGCTCCGCAGCTTCTGCTCTGAACAGTTTTTCTTGTATTCCCACATGTTATTAGTCCTAAAAAGTGTCAGAAAATCCACCCTACTGCCACTGTGTGCTCTGTCAACTCCCGAACCCACCTGGCACAGTCAGGCCATGATGACTAGCACCAAGCCTGCCTGCATGAACTGCTGCTGTCATTGCATACGTCTATGTGGTCTGCCCAGGGAGAAGTGACAGTGGGTGGGAGAGTTTGGACTTTGGCACCAGGAACTCTAATGACGGCACACAGATGCAAAGGTCTTTTTTCCTTGTGAACAGAAATTCAATGAAGTTTTCGGTGTACATTTCATAGAATCATAGACAGGCTAAGGCTGCCAGGGACCCTACAGACCGTAAAGCTCCAACCCCTGCAGCAGGCACGGCTGCCACCCACCAGGTCAGGTTGCCCAGAGCAGCTGCCCAAGTGAGACACATCCTACATCTACAGGGAGTCAATAATGAGTTCAGTTAAATCACATAAATATATGCTATTTTTATAGAAACATAATGATATGAAGCAAAATCCATTTGAGGCATTTAAGGACACGCACAGCCCACACTTCTGATTCTCAATTTTAGCTTGGTTTTGACACACCGAGTTCCTCACAACCAAAGGAAGGGCATCCAGGATCGAGTTCTGTGGGAGTCCAATTATTTGCTCAAGGTGATTGGAAGACCCCAGGATCAATATGTCTATGAGCTTTGTCTGTGGGCTTCAGAAACTTTTGACGTATCTCTGCTTCACAGAGCAGATGTGAAAGACAGCGCTCCTCGGGTTGAGAGGCGCTATGTATCTTGTCCCCCACATTGCTCAGGAAACAGGACTGCATTCCTGTAGGCCTCACAAACAGGCTGAATTACTGCATGGCACCTAGCGGAGCCACAGTTCCACAGGTGAAGGCAAAACAGCAGCAGGGAGTACTAACAGAAGGTTTTTAATACTGCCTCCCAACCTGCCTTCAGCCTACACCCGGGGAGCGCTGCAGAGGTGAGCTGTGCTAAAGCCCCTGAGACAGGCTGAGGGGCAGGGAGAGTCCTGGATTCAGCTGAAGAGGTGCTAACACCACACCTGGGATGGTGTTTAGCAATGCAAAATAAGGTGCATCTCAGGTACAGTCCTTAAAAGCTGAACTACTGAAAAGATTTGTAATGGCAGGTAGTGTCCTGAAATAGAGAATAACCACTCCAGTGAAAACTTAAAATGGAAGATGCCAGAGTGTATGGCAGAACTGCAGGACGTGGGTG